TAATTTAACCGTTCATTTCTTGTATTATATATTTATCTGTATATGATTTAACAGTTCATTTCTTGTTATATATCTAATTATCTTTATAAATAAATGTATATCAGCAATTTGGTTTTATCTCTCTAGAGAACCCTGTCTAACACACCTATGAAGCAGCGTAAACTTGCCCCCACGAAGCTGAATCCCTATGGGCACAGATGACCAGGTCTTCTCCCCGAGGAGCTGATCAGTGCAAGCCACCAGCTTTGTGGTTACCAACTGCTACGTCACCAGGATTCCTTATAAAACCTAAAGCAAAAGCTAAAACAGCCAGTTATAACTAAGAAACTATTACAGAATCATAAAGGTGATTTAATCGTCCAAAAGACAGAAAAAGTGAACAAAGACCAAATGGGACGCGACTCAGAGCAAGATGACAGCTCTCCACCAAGCCTTCAATGAATGACATCAAATGTAGTGGCCTCACCATTGTGCTAGGAAGAGTGAGACGGGATTAAAGAGCCAGCCACGACCATGCAGGATGATGCCATCTGTCCCTGTCAGGACCGAAAGACTCAAACCCTACAGAGGGCCACCAAGAGTCTGAATAAACTCTGCAGCCATGGATCTGGTTTCTACAAGTAGTGCTGGGACAATGGGCTATCCATATGCAACCTCCCACCCCCACCCCAACCTCCCATTTATAGCTCATACAATATACAGAAAAGCCAAGCTCCAAACTCATTGCTCTCACGGCTGCAGAGCTACCAAAGGCTCCTTTTTCTCCCTTGGAGTGAATGGTGGGTTCAAACTGCTGAACTTCGTGGCTCGCAGTCCAATGTGCAGCCCGCTCGGCCCTCAGCGCTCCTCAGGAGAGCAAAACTTACAACAAAAAAGAGGTATTTAATTTATGTCAAACTCAAGTCAAAATAGAGTAGCCAGAAGGGGCCCTGACAATCGTCAAGGGCTACTGTGGTCAAAAACTAGAAATAACCCAAATGTCCCTCAACAGAGGACGAATGCACATTGTGATACAGTCACACAGTGGATCACTAACGACTCAAGCAGTGACAGGGACACGCGAATGTGGATCAATCGCAAAATGATTATTCTGAGTGGAAAGGGCCAGGCAAAAAGTGTTGACTGTATGTTTTCATTTATATGTAACTCTAAGTTCAAACTAATCTAGCTTGACAGAAATCAAGACCATTGCTTGCCTGAGAATGGGAGGTGGTGGGGACAAGGGCCAGAGGGAAGGATTATTGGGGAGTGTGACAAAATGTCGGGGGTGATAGGGAGCTGCATTGTCTTGATTATGAGAATTGTTTCACAGGTACATTAAAAAGCAAAACAAAACTAAACACCCCAACTAGTTGCCACTGGGTAGATTCCAACTCACAGTGACCTCATTTGTGTCAGAGTAGAGCTACACTCTCTACAGAAGGCTTTCGGGGCGCATCTTCCAGAAGATTGCCAAGCCTTGCTTCCAAAGGGTCTCTGGGGGACTCAGAGCACATCCACTGTTGCCACTGAATCCACTCTGGCTCCTAGCAAGTCCACCTGCCTGGTCCTACACCATCTTCATGATCACTGGTATGTTGCTATGAGCATCGTAACTGTTTTGCACTACCTTGAGACTCCTGTGAGGATATTTCACTGCCATCCGTTTGATTCCAACTCACAGTGACCCTCTAGGGCAGGACAGACCTGCCGTTGTGGGTTTCTGGGACTGTAACTCTTTACTGTTGACCGTGGAGGTAGCAGCCCCATGTGTAAGCACTGTGGCACCAGGGTTCCTTCCATGAGTACATACACATAAAATTTATCATCAATTGTACACTTTAAATGTGAGCCCTGGTAGGCTGCTAACCGCAAGGTCATCAGTTTGAAACCATCGGTCACTCTGTGATAGAAAGACGAGGCTTTCTACTTCTGTAGAGTTAAAGTCTCGGACACCCACGGGAATAGTTCTACCTGACGTACAGGGTAGCCAGGAGTCGGAATCGGCTCAGTGGCAATGAAGGAGAGTTTACTTCATGTCAAGTACTCCTCAGAGAGAGATTCATTTGCCCAGCCAAATGCCACCATGTGGACATCCTGTATCAACTCCGCTAGTGATGGCTATTGTGTTGTCTTTAACTTAAAAACAAAACATAGCAGCTGTGATACAATCTCTGTGCTATGTCTATCTTTAAATATACTGAGGCTTATTTCCTCTTTCCTTTAAGTCAAGTTTCCAGAATTATTCGATGGGCTATTAAAGAATTAAGTTCCCATTCTTAACTAAAGAGGGGTAGGGGGATGCCAAAGAATCTCTGTATCCACGGGATCCAGACGCTTGAGAGCCCAGGAGGCTAGAGGAGTCCCAAAATGATGGCCTCGAGGTAATCTTTGAACCTGAAGTTTGTTTTCCACTGAACAATTCAGACACCATTTGTTTTGTGACACTGATTGCACTCTTCTCACATCCTGTGTCTACCAGTATTGTCTCCTTCTCTATCCCTTCCTGCCTTCTCAACTCTGTTCCTAAGAGAATGCTACCCTAAGGTGATCTCACATGGTTGACTGTTGAAATGCATAGGTAGTTCGCTAAGTGTTACTGTTTGCCTTAAGTCTGTTGGCCTGATGGTTGACTGACTGAAAGCTGAGCTAGGAGGGAGAGTTCAATTCTAGGCTTGAAGGGTATCTCAAGGCCATATATAGTCTTGGGGTCCCACCAATCTCTTATCAGACCAGTAGTAGCCTTTTAAAAAGTGATTTTGAGTTGTGTTCCATATTTTTCTCCCACTCTATCCAGAGCTTCCTATTGGGGTCCCTTGGAGCGTGGTCTTCAGTGGTAGGCGGGCACTATTGACTCTTCTGGTCTCAGGGTCGTGGAGATAGGAGTTCAATGGTCCTTGGAACTGTTTCCACAAAGATTCACAGCCTTCAAAACCTTATATAGGGGTCAGTATGAGTGAGCCCCGACCGGATGGCAGAAGGCAGCACTAGCTCTAGCTCGCTAAGACAGACATTCTTGGTGAAAGCCATCTCCCTGAGTCACTTCCACCAAGGCGGTGTCCGGACATGGCGCCATCTCACCTGCTTCTTGGTGTCCACCTCCAGAATGTCCATCAGGTTGATCATGATGTTTTTGTGCGTCTTCTTGTACTTCCCAACCCGCAGCGAGACGGTGAGCCAGCCAGGGCGTCCCGTGCACATGAACGTCTTGCTGCCTTGCTCCTTCCATTCTCGCACCTGCAATCAAGCGGAGAGAGGCTGAGCAGCCCTGCCAGGGAGCTCCAGAGCAGCTTACAGCCCCTCCCGGAGAGAGGGAACCGGGAGCAATGCCTTCACTTGTCAGCAAACTGAGCCCACCATCCTTCCAGGTGCCAGGAGAACCCAGAAGCCGCTGGCCCTCTCCCTAGCTAGCCGGGCTGATGGAGAAGCCGACATGTTGCTACACCACAAGGCAGAACGAACAAAGAGCTGGCCTTTAAGATCAACGTGTTTGGGGAACATTAACTCTAAAAGGTTTTGTAATGATAATAATAGTGGTTATAAAAATGATTTAAATCACAGTGGGTGCCCCTCTGTGCCAGGCACCTTCTGTATACAGTCTCACTGAATTCTTATAACCCAAACCAGGAAGTTGGGATGGGCAGCTCCCTTCTGCTGAAGAGGAAGCCAAGAGGCAAAATGACTTGCTCAAGGTTGAGCAAGGATGAATCCAGGTTCACAGCCAGGACCATCTGACTTTTGATTTCTGAGAGAAGAAACTTCCATGGCAGGCCAAATGGGCTTTAATATTAAGAGTCAACAGACTAAAAACTAACACTGATTTAAGCTTACTATATGTAAACCCCTGTTCTAAGCACTGGTGGTGTAGTGGTTACAGGTTGGGCTAATTGCAAGGTCAGCAGTTCTGAACCACCAGCTGCTCTGAGGAAGAAAGACTAGGCTTTCTTCTACTCATGTTAACAGTTAGTCTCAGACACCCACAGGGGGGTCACTATGAGTCAGCATCGATTCAAAGGCAGTGAGATAGCGTTAGTCTCAAAGTCACAGGGCCAGTTCTATCTTGTCCTAAGGGTTGCTGTGAGTGAGCATGGACTTGGTGGCAGTAAGTTCTAAGCACTTGTATGCATTAACATGTCATTTTGAGAGGGACAGAAGGTAAGAAAGAAGTGCTTTGTTAAACCTCGATTAGAAGTGACGAGAGAACAAATGGCCCAGGCGATGAGGACGCAATGTTCCTCTGTGCTGAGATGGCCCAGGGCAGGGGAGGTGGGCATCTGTTGCTTTGACCTGCCACCATCCATACCCTCTTCACTTGCTTCTACCAATCCCATTTCCCTCCAGTCCAGGTGAGGATAATTCTACTTCCCCTCTTCTAGGGGGTATGTGACTTAGGTCTGATTCCATTCTCCTGCCCCGGGTGACGGTTTCAGGGATGGGCCCAGGACCAGAGCTAGGCCAATGAGACCAGATTCAGGAAAGGTACTCTCTTGACTGGGGTTGCTAAGGCAGAAGGGCTCCATGGGGAGCTGGCCTCCTTGAGAAGGAAGCTGAGCCAGGGGATGGCAGAGATGGAGAGAAACGGAGCCAGGGAGAGGCCCCTGGATTCAGCCAAGTCTGAACCACTTTAATGGCTGGGGCTTGTCAGGCACCTGAGACAACGAAATCTCTCTTTGCCACTAAGACTTGAGTTTCTACTATGTGCAATGAGGAGTCCAGACAAAGACTGGCCCGGCCTCTGGAAGGAGGCTGCATTTGAGCTGGCCAGCTCAGCACGGGAGGATTTTCTTACGGTTAAAGGCCAAGGTGATATGATGGGCTCCCCATTCTGGGAGATATTCAGTCAAGAAGAGCGGATAGAGAAAGGGATTGTGAGAGCTGGGAATTATGGGTTGAGTGGAGGCACTCCCAGACCAATCAGACCTTGCCTCTATAAAACTCTGCCACCTGCTTCATGATTTGACACAAGCCGGGGCGGCGGGAGGACAGAGGGGTGAGAAGTGTTCTTGGAAGGCAGGTCATGTGAAGTGAACTTGAAAGCCACAAAGCTCTAACTGTTGACTGGACTGGATCCTGGCAAAAGTCAACCAAGATTTGGAACAAGGAGATGTTTGAAAAAGTCATTCTTGTGATTGTGTGACAATCAAATAAAGGTGAGGGAAGAAGGGCAACTGGTAGGGCAGCTATTACAACGGGCAAAGCAACAGAACCAGACCTACAGGCGGGATGGAAAGGCTCAGAGAGCCATTATGGGCGCTCCAGCTCTGAAGTCAAGCTGACATGGGCTCTGTTCTTATTTACCAGGTATGTCATCGTGGGCACGTGACTTACAATCTGAGCCTCAATTTTTCCCATCTGTAAAAGAGACACAAGACCTACCAGGACTGCTGTGTGAGAGTTACAAATAGAGGCACATGGCAGATGCACAGGGGACTGGTCTATATGCCAGGCCCCTCTCTTCTTGTCCACAGTAACCTCTGTGGTTTAGCTTAGACAGAGGTGTCACCAGGGTTAGTAATCCTAGTACAAGAACTCATGGTGTCACCCGCCCTCCCAGTATAGGTGGGGCCAGTTGGTGAACCCTGAGGAGCATCCCCTTCCCCACAACTTCCCCTCCCCCATTGGCCAAAGCAGAGGATCTTCTCTCTGGCCAGTGGCAGGTACAGCGGCCTACCCCCCTGCCTTGTGGGTAACTGTGGGGGTGGGTGTTGGTGAAGAGTTAGCCTACTGGGTAACTGGGTGACAGGTGATACCAACCCCAGTGATACCCCTGCCTTGGCAGCCCCTCCCATTTTGGTGCCCGTGTACCTGTTGCCACCGCTGCCGCCAGGTTCTGGGGCCACTTTGACATCACTCTCTCTGACAAGTATGGGTGGGCAGGGTCCACAACCCTTCTAACCACCACAGCGATGCCACTGGTTTAGGCTAATAAGTGCTCACTGGGCTCTGGCCAGAGGAGAGAGGATATGGTCCCTGCCTTCAAGGAGCTCAGTCTGATGGGAAGAGGGGTGGGGGTAAAAAACAGGAAGATGGAGACTGTGAACACAGTGTGGGAAGAGCTGTGAAGGAGGGTGGAGGTGGGAGTGAAGGCAGAGCTTGGAGCCATGACTGTGGAAAGCAAAAGCTTAGGGCTGCCTGGTGGCATAGTGGGTTATGCATTGGTATGCTAACTTCAAGGCCAGCAGTTCAAAACTATCAGCGGCTCTGAGGGAGGAAGATGAAGCTGTCTACCCGGTGAAGAGTTAAGTTTTCTAAACCCACTGGGGCAGTGCTACTCTGTCCTGTTTGGCCAGCAGTGGGTGTGAGGGCTGCTCTATGCGGCGCATTTCCACTGCAGCCGTCTCCCTGGGCCCAAGGGGATTTCTTGCTCATTCATCTTCACGCTCTTGTTTGCAGTCCCGCGAAGGGAGCAAACAGACATCATGCGGACGCTGCTACACTTGTGGGGAGGTGGCGGCAGGAAACTGAAGCTCTTTGCAACCTGATGCCACTAAGGGAGGCACCTAAGCAGGGGCCTAGGGAGCAAAGAAACTGCCGGGGGCCCCGGCCCACGCCAGCCCTGAAGCAGCAGGCCACTGGCTTTGTGGGCACTGAGCTTGTGGACAGTTACTCGGAGATGCGGGCTGCCTTCCTGGCCGCAGGGGCTGGGAGGCTCCTCGCCGGGCATGCTTCTAGCTGTTCACAGTAGCCTTCTATCCGAAAAGTGTCCAAAGCTCCCAGTGGCTGCAGAATAAACTCCAGACTCTAATCAGGCCTCAAGGCCCTCCCCATCCAGCGCCAAACGGGCTTCCCAGCCCCCCCTCCTCCCTGGGCTGTTGGCCTCCCTGGCCTCTGTTCATACCCTTCCTCCCTCGGATTCCCCTTCCCCCATCCTCCTCTTATTGCCCACGTCTGGTCCCAGCTCCACGGCCGCGAAGCCTTCGTTCCTCTGAACTCGCCCAGCGCTTCGCTTCGCTTCGGCCTCCTCGAGGCTTCTGGCTCCTGCCCCGTCTAAGGATTCTTTATTTCCCTCCCGGGACCCACAGGGTGGGCACTCCAGAAGCATCTGCGCAATGTTTGGTTCCCTCCACGCCTTGGCGGTTCCGTTCCCTCACCCCGCCCGCCCCACGTCTGTGCATCGAATCCCCCCGAAGCCCGCACCCCAGGCGTGACCGGCTCTCTCCTGGGCGCCGCACGTCCCTTTCTTCGTCCTCCCCCACGGCCGCCGGGCCGACCGCTACGGGCTCCCACGCGGCGTCTCCCGCTAGCCCGAGAGCTCCGCGCCCCGGGCGCCGCTCACCTGCTTCTGGATGTCCCGCACCCGCTGCTCGTGCAGCCGCGGCGCGCTGCTGAGGCGGAACACCACGCGGGCGCGCACGTAGTAGTAGATGTCGAAGATGAGCGAGAGCGGCAGCAGGAAGAGGCACACGAACACCCAGCGCTGGTGGATGAGCACGAACTCCAGCCCCTTCACGCGGATCCACAGCAGAAAGAGCAGCGCGCACACGGCCAGGGACACGGCGGGCTCCATCGCGGCC